CCAGCTAGGATGCGCATATTATCCTTGATATTTGGTTCTAACTAGAACGTCTGATGGAAAATGCTCAATGGGAGAAGCATTCGTTCCGGGGTATGATGTGATGCTACAATAAACAGGTCCCAAAAAAAGTCCACCTCCCCTCCAAAAACGCCTAACGTGATGTGACCCCTATTTTCCGCATTCTAATTTGCAAGATCTTTAATGACCACGACCCCTTCCGCGTCCACGTCCTCTCCCTCTACCCCTAGTTGCGCCACCCCGAGTCGAACCACCTTGCATCCTGCTAGGCTCCGGACCACCGATACCGCTATCCGATTCTGAAGACGACGAGATCTCGCTCTCCGATTCCGACTCGGAGCCGATTCTCACGACAGTCAAACCACCGGAAGGCCTGCCTCGGCGCGCGGACGGCGGCGGCGGAGGAGAACGGTCACCGGGAATGCCTGAATCAGAGGAAGATGCAGAGGACGGCGACGCGACGGGAGCGTTAAAGTCTGATTCGTCTTCGTCTGACTTGCGCCAGCGTCGACCGACGGCACCTGGAGGCGGAGGTGTATGGTCGGAGCTCGACTGTCTGTCTCTGGAAGCACCGGGAGGCGGAGGTGTGTGATCAGAGCTCGATTGTCTGTTTCTAGAGGCGCCTGGCGGCGGGGGCGTATGATCCGAGCTTGGCTCTCGCACTCTGGCCGACGCACAAGGAGGTGGAGGAGTGAGATCTACGCTTGGTTCTCTCGAAAGTCCTCTGATGGTCTCCTTTGCTGGCTTCGTCGTCTCTTCAGTAGAAGGCACGATCTTGGCTGGCTGCTCGCCGCGACTGACGGAAGGCCTCGCAGAAGACGCCTGAGTTGGTGTCGGAGTCTGCTTCGCGCTCGCATCTCGCGACTTGCGCGAAGTAATTTTAAACTTTCCTCCGCGAGCTGCAACACGAGCCGCCATTGACATCATCTTTGTGGCACCCGGAGGAGGCGGGGGTGGTGATCGGTCAATGGGTACTTTCTCTACCGTGGCAGTCTTGTTCTTGGGCGGTCGACCACGGCGCTTCTTAGGCGGTGCTGCGGTTGCCTCCGCCATCTCGTTTTCGATGGAGGTGACGGGTGCACTCTGGGATGGTCCTTCTCCAGCCAACTCTCGCTCAAGTTGAGCCTCGAGTTCAGCTTCAGTCACATCGTGAGCTGCGTCTTCGTCATCAGCATCATCGTCGTCGTCGCTGACTGTGTTGCCCCTAGCTCTCGGGTTGAACGAGCTGGCTCCATCTATAGTCACAACGCGGCTGAGGCCCGACCGTCGCGATGCTCGTTCTTCGCGTTTCTTCGCTGCATTTCTTGCTGCAAGTTCAGACGGCTTTGAAACAGCATCGGCTAGAGAGGCCCTCGGCGCCGAAGCCGGCGTCGAGTTCGCGCTCCGCGGCGGCCTGCCTCGCCTCCTCGGTACTGTGGGCGTTTCGGCTCCGTCAGCGGCGGCGGTGGCGGCCGCAGCATCAGTCCCCTTCTGGACGAGAGCGCGTACAGCGTCAGAAGCCAAGTCTCTGGGATCATTACTGGCATCGCCCGCCTCCGGCTCATCGTCCTGGACCGGTGGCCTTTTATTGAAAGCTGGCACCATGTCATCGGGGTCGTCGATCATTGGCTCTTCTGGCTCGGCATAAGACGCTCTAGGCCTCGCATGTCGCAATGAAGGAACGTTTGCCGGGAATTGAGGAGCTGGTATCCCGCGTCGTGCAGGACCACCTGCCTGAACTGCCTCTCTTTCGAGCTGGGCCGAGGCTTCATCCTCAGGACCACCGCTCACACCGGCTGGTTCGGTAATATCACCCTCAGCAGCTTCGGGTGCGGCGCCCGCGGCAGCAGGTTGTGCCGAACCAAATAACGCCGGATCCATGGCAGATTCATCAGCACTGTCGTCTTGCTTTGCCTTCTTCCTATTTTGGGGCCTGGGCCCATGGAAGTCTGGATCCAGGTCATTTTCCTGTTTTGCCTTCCGCTTCTGCGTCCGCAACATGTTCTTGACGTACTCAGCCTCCTCATCAAACACCATGGCGTCCGTTGAAGGCATTTGGAACGGGTCGAATAGAATCTGATCTGGGCCACTTTGTTGATAGTAACCCATGCCGAACATGGGTTGGCCGTCCATGCCCAAGGGATCCGGGTATGCTGACTGGTCCCATTCGGGACCCCCATTCATGTTAGCCACTGGAGCAGACGGGTCAATGTCCATCTGCGATATGTCTTGAGTGGCGTTGAGATCGCCTTGATCATCAGCTTGATGTTCGTCCTCTTCACCGATGACATTACTTTGATCTCCGTATCCGTTCGTTCCACCCTCCGCGAACGTGGCAGCACCATGAGCGCCATTAGCGATGTCTTCGGCAGTCAGAGAAGCACTCTCCTGAGCCTTCGCGGTGTCAGCCTTCTCCCGTAGCTCCTTCATACGTTTGCTGTTCGCACTGCGGCCTTCTTCACCAGCTGTCTTGAGCCAGTTGAGATTGTGCACGCGGAAGTCGACGAGGGCCTCAACACTTCTATCATCCGCAATGGCCCGGGTATCATGACCAAGAAGGGTGTTCTTTGGCGTATAGGGGTTGCCGCTCTCGGCACGGCGACATGCGCCGCAATTGCATATGCCCAGACACTTTGGGCAAAGCCAATTCTCGTTCTCCTGTACCGTCTGTGGCATCTGATCAAATGCGCGGTAAAGTACGCCGTAGCAGTAGCTTTCTTTGCACTCTGGGTTTGAGCATTCTTGCACCTTGTAGGCGTAGTCCTTGTGACAGCAAACGTGGCAGCGACGAAGTTCTCCCTTCTTCTTCTTACGTTTGTACTTTTTCTTCTTGGGCTTGCCGTTGTCGTCCAATTCTGGCTCGGGCTCGGACTCAGTGAGTGGCTTGTCCTCGTCAAGCCTCGAAATGTCTTTGAAAGGTCGCCTATGCAAGCCCTCCTGGCAAATTTCGGCCAGTGCCTTTTTGCCTCGCCGGGTGCAAGCGATTTCAAGGGGCTGAGGTGATAGCTCTATATCAACGAAGCCGTCATTCTTGATGATCATCGCCCGCCAGAGTTCGTAGTTCTCCGTCAGTTGTTCCCACGACCATTGCTCGCACCATTGAAGTTTGGATATGCAGACACAGGATCGTCCCATGGCGTAGCATTCCATACAGACGTCGTATGCATCCTCGTCCCCGTTGACTAGGGTCCGAACACAGTGCTTGCAGGTCAAGAATCTGTTGAAAATGTTCGATCTGCAGTACGAGCAGGTGACGCAAGAATCGTACTCGACATACTCGACGTTCTTCTCCTTGGTCGCAAACATTTCGTCGACGAGAATCTCAGTGTAGAGTGAGAATAGATGGCGGAAATCCTTCGCAAGCTGCTTATACCGTGAGGATGACCGGAAAAGCTCCGAGCTTAGACCGGCAATGCCCATCTCGCTGTCCTGCTCGGCCTTTACCATCTGCGCAAAGTATTTCTTGAGCGTGTAGTAGATGATAGCTTTGTTTTTGTACTGCTCATCGCGACAGACAAGACGAGCTTTGGGAAGGGCCTCGTGAAGTGCCATGTCCAGGGTTTCGACAGTCGTGCGGTTCCACGCGACCTTCATGGTGCGCGTACCCCTATTCCAGACCTGGTGGGGGGCCAGAGGGGGAATGAGAATAAAATCGCCGGGCTTCTGCTCGACAATGTAAACAGGGAAGGTTGCTTTTTTCCAGGCGTTGATCTGAGCAAAATGCTTCTCGATCTCGATATCGTGGCCGAGCATAGACAGGAAGTACTCGCGGACGACTTCTCGATCCTTGGTCTCTGTCATGAACCAGATAGAGCTTCCAGGTTTCTCCCCATTCTCACTTCCCGAAGCCTCAACCATGATGTTCTGTCCGAGACTGGCGCACATTTCACGATGCGCCGGGGTGAATGTTCCTTCGTGTCCGATATAGCACATGAGGTTCTGTGCTCGCATCTCCTCGGGGAGGCTTGACATGAGATCTCCCGCAGGTGCCACCTTTGATCTATCGCCAAAGCCACGAAATGGATCACTTTCTCGAATATCTGGAGCTCCCTTTTGCGTGACGTTTTCGTTCATGTAAAATAGATTGGGAGGAATGACTTTCTGCAGGTGTTCTTGCCATTCGGGAGGACAGTCGATGTCTTTCAGGTAAAGGCGTTGCCGTCTCTCGTCTCGGTAATTGGTCGGTGTCCATTGGTCGGTGAGTTGCTTCATGGCTCTCATATAGTGGCCTGTGGTCATCGGAATCTCGGTCTGGCCGGTAATGTCACGGACATTTTCCTCTGTCTTGATGTCAGCTGCTGCCGCAATTGGGCTAAAGGTGACTACACTCACGCTTCTTGTCGTATGTCTTCTCCATCCACTCTCCACTGAAAAGCCACTCAGGGAGAACCTCGTTCCATTTCTCAATCACCAAGGGCTTCCCGCCTTGGATGACTTGTAACTGAACCAACTTCTCAAACTCCTGGGGGCCCAGTCCTTGGATCTGAGCAGTCGAAATTCGGAGGACCCATTCGAAATTTGGGGTATGATCGACCAGTGTGAAAAGATCCAAGTCCGGGGGGATCGGGTCGAACTTGGCCTGGGGATGCGATGGAGGCGGCATCTTGACGACTCGTTATGGCTACTTTCTGGCGGGGAATCGCATGAAAATGCTACCTTTGGAGCGTCGGTCGGGACATGCGAGACGTATGTATCTCCAGGCGCAATCGAGACGACTTGCGGCGCGTCGAGCCGGCGAAGAGGCCGGCTGGTGATGTTCGCGACAAACGGCGATGCGTTCCAGAGGCTGGAAAGCGCGTCGCGTAAAGGGCAAGTGACGTTGGGCGAGGCTGACCAATTCGAGATTCAAAGGCGATGGGGAGGAACGAAAGTCAAATGCGCAGCCAATCAAGCTCTGCGAATCTACCGGTACCTTGGCCCCCAAGGATCGAAAGCACGGACCACACTTAAGCTTTGGACCCTTTGGCGACGGCTCCCAAATTTCGGTTCTCTCGGTGACGGGTGCAAAAAGTTGACGGGGCATATCTGGTTTTTGTTAGAGCTTCGTGTCGGTTGTCGGTGAGTCTTAAGGTTTCTTTCTTTTCGTTCTTTCCCAGTCAAAATCACGGCTGGTATTATTCCACTGGCTCTTGCCTCCGAAGCTTGGGCCTGCCGATGCAATGTGTCTGTCGCGCCATGGTGACCATACCTTTGTTGAGGGAGCTGGCACCCTTGCACATCCTCACAGCTGAAGAGCTTCACAGTCTAGATGGATTCAAGGCTCAATGGCTCAATGTTTTCCATGTTGCGGATTCCACTCCTTTTGAGGATCAAAACTTTTGTTCCTTCTCTCTGGTATTACTGCGAGCAACTTGTTGATTCCTCTACATGATCTTAATTCGTAAATATGTCACTTATACTAACATCGTGACAGTGAATCGAAATGAGGCAAGTTAATTTGCTAAGAGTGCCCCTTAGGGCGGCATGCACCCCTTCATCTGGCACAACGAGATTTCTCTCCGCGGCATCACCATCCCGATTGGACTTGCAGGCACACCGCAAGCCTAGAACACATCTCGTTCTTCGAAGCTCAGCGCATCAACAGCACACAGCTCTTCACACTACCACGAAACGCCTCACAACAGCCATTGCTCCAGACACTCCCGAACCAGCATCACCTGAAGCTGTGTACTCGCCGCCCACGACCGGTATCATCTCTTACCTGCCCGCATCATGGGTCCCCTACGCAGAACTCACCCGCATCGATAAGCCCGCAGGCACTTACTACCTCTTCTTCCCCTGTCTCTTCTCAACGCTGATGGCCGCGCCGATGGCCATGCCCATGGCATCGCCGGCCTCTGTCATTGGAACCTCGCTTCTGTTCTTCTCGGGAGCCCTCATCATGCGAGGTGCGGGCTGCAGCATCAACGATCTATGGGATCGTAACCTAGATCCACACGTCACGAGAACGAAATTCCGACCCATTGCGCGAGGTGCCATCACTCCCTTCCAGGGTCTCGCCTTCACCGGCGCCCAGCTCCTGGCTGGACTGGGTATCTTGGTCCAGTTCCCCACGTCCTGCCTCTGGTACGGCATTCCGAGTCTGCTCTTCGTGGCCTCCTATCCTCTGGCCAAGCGGGTCACCTACTATCCCCAGGCCGTACTGGGCCTCACCTTCTCCTGGGGTGCGATGATGGGCTTTCCAGCTCTCGGAATCGACTTGTTGTCCAATAGCGCGGCGTTGACGGCTGCCGGGCTCCTGTACACGTCAAACGTCGCGTGGACGATTCTGTACGATATGATCTACGCCCACATGGACATCAAGGATGACGTCAAGGCGGGCATCAAGAGTATCGCCCTTAAGCACGATGCCGAGACCAAGCAGGTCTTGACAGGTCTGGCTGCGGTTCAGCTGGGTCTTTTGGGTGCTGCTGGCTTCGCAGCTGGTGCGGGTCCAGCCTTCTTCATCGGTAGCGTCGGTGGAGCGGCGGTGACACTCGGTGTCATGATCAAGCGGGTCAACCTGAAGAGCGTCAAGGACTGCTGGTGGTGGTTCATTAACGGCTGCTGGATTACTGGTGGCGTCATCAGCTTGGGTCTCGCGGCCGATTATACTGTAAGATACGTTCAAGGCGGAAAGGAGGATGCTGCCAGTCAGAAGCAGCTGGAGTAGGAAACTTCAAAAAAGGGCGTATAGATGCCAGGAGAAAAACATGTACCAACATCGTCTGTAAATTTCATAGCACGTAGAATCAACATTTCCCTGATTCTTGATTTTTGTTCTTCACAAACCACTCCCAAATAAACCCCGTTTTGTGTAATGTGTGATGTGAAATGCCGCATGTTCAGGTATTGACTTTCATGATGTTTTATTTCATCGACCAAAGTCTACCCGCAGTATCAGGACCATAACCCATTGATGCCAATGCAAGCGTAAAACTCCGAGTGCCGAATTTTCTTCCACTGTCCTTCCCATGCTTCGCGCGACGAAAAAGCCTCCCGTTTAGGATCTGGGCTTCTCCTTCTTCTCCTTCCACAGAGCAAGCAGACCGACACCAGAGACCTTGACGACCTTGAAACGGACACCGGGAATATCACCCTTGGCCTTGCCCTTGCGACCGAAACCGGCCAGGAGGACCTCGTCGTTCTCGTCGACGAAGTTCAAGCAACCGTCGTTGGGGACTAGAAATCACAAAAAAATGTCAGCACTTTAGTTCCCTTCGCTACATGGTCCCATTCAAGACCAGTTTCCTGTTTCTCTTGTTCGTCGTCGAGAATCGTAATGTTGGGGAGTTTCGGGAGAGGGTGTATCGTACCGAAAGCAGTGACCTTCTTGCCGTTCTTGATCAACTGAACACGAACGCACTTTCGGATAGCGGAGTTGGGCTGCTTGGCCTCGACACCGACCTTCTCGAGGACGATGCCCTTGGCGTGGGAGGAACCACCGAAGGGGGAGGACTTGAAAGCGGTACCGAGGGCACGCTTCTTGTATCCGAGATCGGCCCACTTCTGGTCCTTACGGTTCATGCGCAGCTTGCGCGCCGCATTGAGTCCACGAGGCATGTTGGCTGGATGAGACTATTGTCAGTTGAAAAAGTTCCTAGAGGGGCAGTTGTGTGGTGGTGACAATCGAGATTTCGTCGTCGAGATTACTGAGATTTTTTTTTTTGCTCGGGGAATTCGTCGTCGATGGATTGGAGGTTCTGGATGGGACAGCGCAAACGTACCGATGTGTTGGGGGTATCGCGGGAATTGACTTGGTGGTGGTGATAATGCCTGACTGCTTCTTCGCGAAAAGTGGTATCCTCAGATTTGTCCGACGACAGCTTTTTCGGCACACAGAGGGTTTGTGCCCTTCGGTGGGAGGAGCGTGGTTTTCCATCACGTGATGCTGGCTCGTGCGTTCTCCTATTGCCTGACGAGCGGAAGAAGGCCGGGTCTGACAGTCAAAAAGTGGGGGCAAGTTCACCCAACCACGGCCGGGTTTCGCTTTCAACCACTTTGATCCGCCCGGAGCTCGAACCCCACGCTGCTGACCGTACTGTCTTAGCCAGGGGTGTCCCCCCAAAGGTCCACAACTTGCCTCGACTACCTAACCCAACCAATCCTATCAGATGCCGTCAAGTTCAAGAGAAGCTGTCTCGGACGCCAAGTCCCGAGCTTGGAATGTTCACGACGACACACAAAATGTAGGCATGTCTCAATCAGCAAAGAGCAAAGGAAAACAGCGCGACCCCCCGCCGTCCCTGTTCCTTCATCCATCTCCCGCCGCCTCTCATGCCTCGTTACCAGGTATACTTGCGCCTGGAGCGCCGGCCACCTCGTCCGCTGGCGTCACACCTCTCCCTCAGCAGGCCATGAGTAACCAACGAAATGGATCTCTTCATACGGGCTCGGTAGTTGCGCCATCCGTTGCGCGCCCTGTCCGGAATCTGAAGACCGCCGATAGCACTCGGAGCAGTGACAGGACCGACGCGTTGTGGGCTGAGATGCAGGCGACGCTCGAGGAGGTCGAACTCTCGGCGTCGGGTGGAACTCACGTGTTTGGGCCTGATCATGATCGCAAGCTGGAGGAGCTAAGGACAGCGCAGATCGACCTAGCACAGGCGTGGGCACGAAGCGAGGCCGATGAGGCCATCGAGATGACGGGCCAGCGCTCCAACACGTCAGCAGCCGGGGGCGAGGAGGTCCGCAACCTCAAGAGCGCAGTGCTCGGAGAGACGGGCGGCGTGGCGTCAGATGGCAACGAGGGACCGCGAAGCACGGGAAGCAACAATGGGCGACCAGGTAGCAGCGGGGGCACGGAGCGACTTGGTGCGAAACTCGAGCAGGAGACGGAGGTAGACATCTTGCTCGCACGAAAGAGGCGCGAGGCCAATGATCGGTACTTCCAACGGGTCAACAAAGGTGTGCTCGACGTCGTTGCCAAACTTGAACACGTTGCTGTTGCGATGCGGGCTGTCGAACAGGAGACTAAGGATATCTGGGGCGAGAATGACAGCGCGACGGGCAGTGCGAAGGGGTAGAGGCAACCCGGTGATCTTTCTGTGTTTTGTTTGCCTTTTTTACCTGAAGCATCACCCGGGGCTTCTGTATTACACCAGCATTGTTCCTTTGCATCTTCGGGAAGGAGTTTCGTTGTTTGGTGGTTATGGGTTGGCGTTGAGGATCACATTCACTGGGCGGCAGCACCCCACCAACCTCAGGTTGATGGATTGGCACTGGATGTTTACCTTGTAGTCTTAATTTGTATCTCTAAGCCAGCTCAACGTACCTGTTTGGGCTTTGTGAGGCGACCAACAAGGTATGCATGGGCTACGGATACACTAACAAAGAATCACAAGCTGAAGATCAAGCTGGATCATCGAATTCCATCGTCGGAGAAACCGGATGAAGTCGTACACATGAGTCGGCTGTTGACGTGAGACGGTAGAATGGCTTGCCCGTAACCTGCATCGATGTCACCGATCGCTGAATTGTTCCGAGTCTGCAGCGGGAGATGCGGGTGCACCAAGCGGTCGATCGAGCCATCGAATGTGGTGGTTACACCTAGAAGTTCTACATAATTACACACAGCGCTACAAGGTGGCACGTTTGTACAGTTGAAGTCGGTGAATGTGTACGGACTATCGGAGCCCGAGATTGGTTTATGTCGCCATATTCCCGCTGGTGACCTTCCTCACAGGGAAGGCCGAGTCGTGGCGGGACGACGGAAAGCACTCGTGACCGGAGGCGGAGGAAACAGCAAAGTGGAACTTTTGTTGCATGTCACCAGTTTGAAGCCGCGCCAAGACCCTTGCCACCCCATGGTACCTTAGGTACAGTTGATGTGCTGCAGACTGAACGTACGGACAGTTTCTGGTATGGACCTTATGGAGACTCAAGAGTCGGACGGAAATGCTGGCGAAAGGGGAAATAAAAACTAGGTTGCACATGTGCATACTGCTTGCTAGTGCCACCAGGTTGTCCCATCATTGCCGGTTCCCACACCATTCTAGACGTAGAGACAGATACCTAACTGACGTATGTGACTGGCTAGAACCTGGTAAGCTGGACGCAAAAGAGTGACAAACAGGTCTCTTTTGGGACTCTTTGCCTATGGAACACCTCCACTACTTTTGAGGGGGGCCACTGGCCGACGGCGCTCCCTACTGAGCAGGTGGTCAACTAAGGTAAGGTTCGGCTGGTGATTGCCCATCCTAGGTACCCTCCGCTCGCTGTGTCCCCATCCATTCAGTGGTCACTGGTCAGTCACCCTGCCATGACAAAGGGGAACCCAAACATCCATTCGATATCCATCAAGGCCCAGTCCAGTCCGTCCACGTCCAACTTGCTGAACTTCCTCCCTGCATCCACCCGTCCTTCACCAATCCGCGAGTCTCCAGCAACCTTCTCCAGTAACTCGCAAGCAACGATTAAATAACCGCAAACCCCCCCCACAAGACCCTTGAGCGCATTCGTCAATCATACTACCTATCCTACAACACTGACACTACCCTCATCCTCGACTTCGATTAATCGCCGCAAAGTCAGACTCTCAATACCGACCCGCATCGACATCCGCGATCGCAAAGAACTTCGTTTCACCCCTTTTCGACGACCTCTACCACACTCCGCAATTATGAGACCCTCCACCTTCCTCGTCGCCGCTCTGGCTGTTGTCCCCGGTGCTCTCGCCGTTGACCAGATGAAGTCCGTCATCGTTTGGGCCAAAACCGATTCCGTCGGTGACGACATCATTCAGAGGGCGAAGCAATCCATCATCGATGCCGGCGGTCAGATCACCCATACCTACTCTATGATTAGGTGAGGCATTACTCTTCAATCGGTTTGAGGTTTTTGAATCGCAGCTAACAACGATCAGGGGATTTGCCGCCGTCACACCTGCCAAGGTCCTTGAATCCGTTCAAGCCTTCAGCGAAAGCCTCACAATCGAAGAGGACCACACTGTCACCAATTCCGTATAGATGGTAGCCCCATTATGGAACCAAATTGTTCATCAGTCGGCACAATTGGCGACAGACAATTTGCGAAGCATGCATCTGGTGAAAGATACAACAATGTGCGAAAAGGGACTTTGGCTGGACTAGGTCACGAGGACAATGATATCCGCCGCCATTCCCGGCGGCTGCAACAGGAACAAGCGAGGAGGCACTCATAATTACCATTGCCGTCATAGACGATTTATCACTACGGAGTCGGGAGTTTTCATCGATGAGAATTGCCTCGGGAGCATCTTTTTATGTACGGCTACGGCGAGGCTTGGACCCCACCTGGTTCAATCCTGCTGCTTGACGCCTCAAGAATAAGACCGAAAATCAAAACCACAGCATACCTACTCATGACTTTAGTCTTTTGCCTCGACTGTCCCGCCACGTGTACAAGAATCCTTGTCAACTGACGGCTGCTTTACCTCGTACACTGTTGACGTCGTGGCGTTCTATAATGATGTCTTTCAGGTTCCGCATGCGGCTGATATCCACACAACGACGTTGATGAGAGATCTAAGCCTTGCGTGAACCCTTTCGACCTCTGAGTACCAATCCCTTAGGTGATGTACCTGATGAGTGGGGGATTTATGTGCGGCACGGAAAGCAGATGTGCAGATCAAAAGCGGATTTCTGCGTCTTCTAGCTTCCCCACTGCCGGCCAAGGATGCTGATTCAGCTTTTCTTGAGCTAGGGATATAACCTGTCGCTGAGAGGCACAATATTACTCGATATCTCGAGGCCTCGTCTAGAGTGTCAAAATGCTGCAGGTGCTTGATTGCAGTGACGCAGCATGCTGCAGCACACCTATTGTACGACTAGTCGGCGGTCCCCTCACGGGATGGAAGCCCTGTGTTTCTGATACCTCGCGTAATGCTCCAATTGGGTTGGGCAGAAAAAGCACCTGGCAATCTCACACTCACAGACGTGTCAAAGCGCAATGTGGGGGGAGACTTTTGGAAAGCCTTCAGGCTTTGGAGATGATGCAGGCAATCTGTCACTGACCGACGAGAAACCTGAAGGGGGGGCTGAAGAGGGATTCTTCAGTTCAGTGTACGTGCCTGCATCCCTTGGGTATATCCGTAGGTATAATGGTGCTCTTTAGTTCGGCACAGAACCGTGGAGAAGGGTCCAAGGCAAGCCGGTTGCAACCCTACGATGGGTGACCAACCTCGTCAAGCTTTCGTGGAGAAGTCCATACCATATCGACGGGATGGCAAGATCATCCATAATTCCGGTACCCGTTTCCGTACTGTAGGCTCTGAGGACCACGAAGGAAGGAATCACCATCAGAAGGGTAGTGGTTGTTTGACAAGTAATTACCCAGGACCATCCGAGAAGATGACTTGAAGTCTGTGCTTATGGCTACAAAAATAGTGCAGTTTGAACAATGTTCGGTCGTGTTTGATCAGAAAAGCACTTTTCAACTGATGTTGATGTTGAGCAAGAATCCGAGGTTCTCGGTGACCACGGGCACAATGTTATTGTTTTTCAGCGTGGCTTTGTTGGCTTCGCCTCAAGCAGCCTTTCACCAAAAAAAAAAAAAAAAAAAAAAAAAAAAAACCTGACAGTTGAAGAAAGAAAGATAAAAGAAGTGGCTGCTCAGCCATCAGCCCTCCCGTGTTGCCGCCAAAGCAAGACCTAACGGTGCTGTCACCAATGGAAGCCTTGAAGAGTGTCGAAGACTCGAAGATTCGAAGGCATAGGGACTGCCCCACTGTAGCATCGGGTCAACCCCTGGCAGTCCGTCCCGCTTCGCGTCACTTGGAGTTTCGGGCTTGGGGGCGGGAGGTACCTTAATAGAAAAACGGCGAGGAGGATTGTATCTTCTCGCTGTGCGTTGGTCATCAACGTGCCGGGTCAAAAAGGGACCAATACCTCCAGGCAAGCTCAGGTACCTCTGATAGTAAGCTGACGGATGGGCGGTAGTTGCGCAACACGCGCTAAGAATTCCCTAGGGCCTAGCTGCCTTTGGCAATCGATAAGGAGGCCCAGGGAGCTTACCTTAGGTTGATGCAGGTCATGCAAGATTGAGTGTGGGTTCGACAGGAGGGAGCAGACGCCAGACGTGAACAATGCGCCTGTCTTTTTTTTTTTGGCTTTTTGGGACGACAAGCCAAGCACCCGCGAACAAGAGACACATCCCTCTTTTTAATCTTGCTATTGCTGCGGCCGCCCTTGTCTCATACGACTGTGCGTAAACAAGGCTCTGTTCTCCTCCTATTTCCCTTTACACCGCCCTTCCCTCGGCCGACGAGGCTATTTCTCACCAACTCTGACCTGAACCTTTAATATCCCGTCAACCGCCGCTTCCTCCACCCCTAGCCGAAAAAGCCCCCTCTGCGATAAGAGCTTCCCGGGCCCATGGAACCACATTTCCCCTGCCCGCTTTGACTTGCAACAAGCACGAACACGACCGCAAAACGTTGTGGAACCGCGCGGGAGCCCTTTCGCCTTTTCCCACGTGCTCCAGCTCCAAACCATAAGGTACTTTACCTAGAGATACCTCACTAGCCTAGAAACATCTACGAAACTACGACGAAAGACGACCACGAAGACGACGAACGGTTACGACACGAAAGAACGGGCATCATGCCGTACTCAGGAAGCGCGCAGGCCGCGCTGGTGCAATGGGTAAGTCGCCGTGCTTTGCGCTCCCTTCTCGATACATCTTCTCCCCCTTGTGTCCTTCCGATGGGTCACTTCCCTTCCCCCATTGTTGTCACTGACCGCTTCGTTTACGCCGTTCCAACATTATGCTGATTTAATGCTCGTTGCACAGGCAAACACATTTCCCCTGGACGGACAGGCAGACTCAATATCAGATTTCCTCGACGGACACCTGCTGTCCAAGGTCCTTCAAGCACTCGACCCCTCCTTCGATTCCAATACCACCGAGGGCGAGCTATACGATGTCTACAAGGGCATCCAGAGGCTAGTATATCGCGAGTGTCCGGGGCTTATTGGGCAGACCAAGCTTGCCGACATCAGACCCAGAGCGAGAGAAGCGCAGCCGGAAGCCATCAGTAAGGTATGCAACCACCCGTGTCCAGCCCAGCTGCCCCTGTTCCGGTGCCGCAAACGCAAGTCCACGCTAACGCAATGCTCTACTCAGCTTCTTGCCGTGCTATTTGCTGTTGCAATGCTTGGTAGCAATAACGAGCGATGGGTTACCCGTATCACCCAGGATATCTCCGACAAGACGGTCCTCATGCAGCTTCAGCGGGTCACGCAAGACATGAGTACAGCCATTAACGATGCCGAGGCGGCGGACGTAGAAGAAATCTCGGAAATTGGGAACGAAAGCCACGATGTCGATCTCGCAATGGAAGCCGACAACATACGTCTCCGCTCTGACCTGGACAAGAAGGGAAAGTTGCTCGCGGATATGGAAACGCGCTTGGGCCACCTGCAGGAAAGTTATGACGACCTGAAAGAGGAGGTAGTTCGCAAGGGCAGGGAGCTGGAGGCGTTCCACGATGCTCAAGACGGTGCTGGAAAGGAGGTCATCAGGTCGCTTGAGCTGAAGCTGCGCGAGCAGGACGAGCTCATTGCCAACCAGGAGGCGCAGGCCGAAGATGATCGCATAGCCAAGGAGCGGTTGACGAGCGAAGTTTCGGCACTCAAAGCCAAGACGCAGAAGCTTGAGACCCTTGACGATGAGGTCAAGGAGCTACGGTTCAAGAATGAGGAACTGTCCCGTAAGGCCAACATGGTTGAACGGTATAAGCAAAAGCTTGAGGCGCAGTCTACATTGTCAAAAGAGATGGACAACTTGCTCTACGAAAAGGAGCAGATGCAGCGCGATCTCATCGAATACGAGAAGGTTCTGAAGAGAAATCAGGCCTTGGAGCAGACCAACGAGCAATACGCCTCGAAGCTCAGAGACTACGAGCTGCAGTATGTTGAGTTGGATGCTCAGCGCAGGGCTCTTCACGATGACACCATGCAGTTGAGAGCTCGTCTTGCAACGCTCGATGCTCAGCGTCTCTCCGATGAGCACCTCATCTCCGAGCTGCAGGAGCAGATCAACTCGGGGTCCCCGGGCGCTTTGTCTCCTGACGCTGGCACTGCGGGCTTCAGTCTCGAGCAGGAGCTTGAGGGTGTCAGCAGCACCGCCCCACCCAACCTCAGCCTTGAGGTCTCTCGCCTCAAGGCAGAGAACAACTTGCTGCGAAGCGGTATGGGGTCTGGGCCAGAAAATGCTCGATTGCGTCAGGAGCTAGAGGAGGAGCGTAGGCAACGCGAACGTATTCAGGGAACTTACAACGACACGTTTGAGAAGCACCAGATTGCGGAGGCCCAAATCAGCGCTCTGATCGAGAGCAGTGGCGAAAAGTTAGTTGAAATCGTTGACACAGCTATGCGACTAGGTGTGGGCAAAGTGCTAACTCAAGATTTCCATCACAGCGAGGTGCTAGCCAACCTGAGAATCCAACTTGCTCAAAAGGCCCATGAACTTGAGAGCGAAAGGAGGAAGAACAGCGAGATCCAAGCTCAGCTCTCTGACAAGGATCGCGAGCTCCTCAGCGCGAGGACCGACCTCTCAGCCGTCGCAAAGGATAGCGTTGATGCTCTCGAGGAACTCAAGTCTACTGACCAACTTATTTCCGGTTCAATCCGTGAAGAACTCGAGGCAGCGCGCCAACAGCTCAAAAACCTTGGTACTGATCTCGAAGAACAGCGGAGCTCACTTATCAACGCCCTACTTGAGAAAGACAAGCTTCGAAAAGACCTTGACGAGGCCAAGGATGGCACGAGTGCCGAGCCGACGGAGGCCGCCCAGAAGCTCCAGGAGAAGGTTGACAAACTGCGTGTCAGACTCAAGGAGCGCCAATCGGTGAGTTCCCTCAGATCTCTTGCAAACGCCCTGGCCCTACAACATCGAAATGCCGAAGGCGGCGTGCCCAAGATTCCTAGTACCCCGTCCGGAGCTGTGTTGTATGACAGCCGTCCGAATGCGCGCATCTTGGTCCCCACATATCACCCCCATCTCGACCTGCCTCCTCAAACACCAAAATCTCCCTTGATCCTTAGACCGAGAGTGAGCTGGTGGAGGAAGGTCTTCAGGCGATCAAAGTCGTCGAGTTGATTGCCCTTTGTATTGGCGTTCATGAGATGAAGAGCATATGGCTGACAGTTTTTTTGTCTTTTCAGCAACTGGAGAAGTCCGAGCAGGATAAATACGACTTGCAGCGGAAGCTCAAGGCAGCCGAAGGCGGAGAAGCTGCCGCGGCCCAGAAGGTACGTTTCTATTATCCTGCAACGGTCCCATTTTACACTACATTGGGCTTGAACACCATGGTCTCGTCTTGATCATGATGATGATGAAGAACCGGGTCGGCTAACAGACACGGCATCAACAGGCTGCGAGCGATCAGATTATCAAGAACCTACAGCGCGAGAACGCACTCATTGCTACGGCGTGGTACGATCTTACTAGTCGTATTCAGAGCAATCATGTCGTCTTGCAAAGGCGGAATGAGGCCCCCAAGAGCTGGCTGGGCAAACAGAGGCAGATGGTCAACGGTTAGTTTTTATGCCTATTTTGAGGCCGGGACACGAGCATTTGAAGACTGACTGTCTACACCCATAGCCACCCCTAGGAGATGAGGCAACCTTAAGCCTTCCGAATCTATATAGCCTTGCATTGTTCTGCGCACCGTGGGACGACTTGGCTTCTCTTCAGTTTACATATTCAGGTTCACATCACGACCTTCAACAAGAACTAGCAACCTGACCTACCCTTACCTCGTCTTGCGCTGGAGTAGGAGAACATCTCGGGGTGGGTTTCCCACTGTCTCTTTTTTTTTTTTTTGTCTTCCTCCCTGCATGTCTTAGCGAAATAAAGGGGATGGCTTGGCTGGCCTGCATCTCGGGTACCATTGCATTGCACTGCGCCGGTGGTTGGGCGGTTTTCTGTCTCCTCTCTTCTTCATCTTCCCATCTACACTTTTATCAGGTCCTTTTTCTCCCTGCAGCCTTATCATACTCTTCGACTTTCATGTATAGCCTTTTTCTTCTAGCGTGTGGGAGGTTTGCAAGCCTATCGTCTTCTGGTGACTTGGGATAGAATCAATTCTTTATCAACACATTGCTTTTCCCCTTTGGAGCCAATGATTTCAGTGCCTGACTGTTTGTGTATGTGTCATTTGGCAAAGTGACATGTCATCTCGCGCTCAACGTCCTTGAAAGCTCCGTTCTGCGGGCTGCTTCGTCAACCGACTCGTCAGCGGAGCATCCACTGCCACCCGAACATTCCGGATCCGCGTAACAGGGAGTTAGTAAGTGAGTCGGCATCGAACATCGGCAACCTCTAAAAACCCCATTTTCCCAGAACTTGAGAAGCTTGGCTCCGTAATAACACCGCCCGCCATCGGCACTTCGCTGCCCCGATGTTGCAGAATACGGTATCGGGTTCATCGGATATCGCTGTGTGAACTTGTCAGCCCCTCCGGTTTCTAGCATACCTAAGTTCCGGGTCGGCATCGGGAGTCCGCGGCCCCACTCATTTCGCTTCTTTGAGAAGCACCGAGGAAGCCCGAATCCGGCCAGCGTGTCGTGTTCTCCTGTCCTGACTTACCTTTCTACGCGTCCACCGCCGTCTGCGTCGCGGACCCGCGAATCGTTAAAATGGAGGAATGACATCACGGCGTTTAGACATCAAACAAGTTGAGCACAGGGCAAGTAGGACCATGGAAGAAAATTTGCGAGGCCATCCAACTGCAAACCGCCGGTTTTGGTTATTAGTGAGACAATAAAGTTGTTGTTTTTACATACAAGCGTGCGACGGAAGGGGTTTTCTACACGGTACAACTGATCCTGGCCACGTTGACGCAAAAAAAGACATAAACCAGCCCAATCCTGTTGATCTCAACAGCTTGGGGGGCCGGACGAGGATGAATCCTTTCCAGTCCATTTCATGATCCATAAAAAAAAGTCCCATAAAAAAGTTCCTCCGGTCCACGCCCTCCTGTCTTCTGGTCATATCGTCGACCCAGAAGATAGAGGGTCAAAGTAAGAGACGCTGTAAATGTAGACGTTTTTCTCCGTTTCCTTCTGACCAGCTTGTGGCACACAGCCGCCGGGGGGTTGTGGACGGGGCGGCGCGCTGGCGTGAGCAAAGGCTGGGAAGCCCGTGCCCGCTTAGTTCTTTCCGGTGATGCGGCTCAGGATGCCGGAGGCGTGGCCACCCTTGCGCTGCTCGTCAAAGACCTCAAGCATGTTCTTCCACACCTGACCGGGCTGCTGCGACGCGTCGAGACCCTTCCAGATACCGTTCTGCTTGTAGTAGTTGACGACGGGAGCGGTCTGGGCGTGGTAGGTGGCAAGACGCTTCTTCAGGGCCTCGGCGTTGTCGTCGCTGCGCTGAATGAGGGGCTCGCCGGTGATGTCGTCCTTCATGTACTCCTTGGGAGGGTTGAAGGTGCTGTGGTAGCTGCGACCGCTGGCGGGGTGGACGAGGCGACCAGTGATGCGAGCGACGAGCAATGAGTCGTCGATCTGGAGCTCAACGGCGTGCTGAAGCGTCTGGTTGCGAGCCTTGAGCATGGTGTCGAGACCTTCAGCCTGGGGGACGGTACGAGGGAAGCCGTCGAGGATGAAGCTACGTCGTTCCAGTTAGCAATGCTTACTCAGTAGTGGCCAATTGACCATCAGGCCGGCTCTCCGGCAGAACAGAGATGTGCCATACCCTCCCTTGCACTCCTTGTTGTTGTCGAGCTCCTCCTTGATCATGCCAATGACGATGTCATCGCTGACCAGACCGCCCTGGTCCATGATCTTCTTAGCTTCCCGGCCGAGCGGAGTCTTCTTAGCGACCTGGGATCGCAGCATGTCGCCAGTGGCCTGCAAGTGTGATGGACGATTAGAAATGATCCAGAGTGTAGCAGCACGTAAAGACAACGTCAATTGACTTACCAAGTGGCAGCAGTTGAACTTCTCCTTGATCTTGGGAGCTTGAGTGCCCTTGCCTGCGCAGAATACCATCATCAGTACGACTGTCGCGACACAAATAGCACGTGCGAAGATGCTCAATTGAAGCTACATACCGGCACCGGGGGGGCCGATGAGGATCATGCGAACCTCCTCGGTGGTGAGCTTGCCGGAACCGCCAGCTGCGCGGTCCTCCAGAGACTTGATTCTGGACTCGAGGCTCTCGACCGTGTTGGTCAGCTTCTTGACTGCTTCCTCAACGAGACTGCTCATTTTGACGGTTGGTGGAGGTATTGATATGGCCGGACCGAGGCTAACGATAGGAGGGAGGAGGAGCAAAGAGATGCACGAGTGTGGCTACGAGGGAGAAAGGAGGAAGAGAGGAGAGGAGAGGAGAGGATGATGGAGTCGAGGTCGAAAGTTGGACTGGGGGGAGCAGTGCGAACTAAAGCTTTTGCGGGAAAAATGATTGCGAGAGAAGTTGAGAAATCGCTGCAAGGTCCTGACAGGCCAAGTCGTCCAGGTTCCGCCTCCAGTTGTGCCAGGTACCGCCTACATCGTACCGAGCTTTGCGCTTTCCACGGCCCCGTTGAGTGCAGGTGACAGGCCACTCAACGGCCCCAGTGCAGGAATGAAGGCTGGTCATTGGTCAGACTGGTGCTCCGAGGGACCGCTGTACTTTCTGCTGGGGAACAGGGTGGCAGGCGTTCGTTCGGCTGTTTCGCAGCGTAACAGAGCCCTCCATATTTCCGCCTTGGTGCCACTGCCTGCGCTTCCGTTACAGCGCTCCGGCTGTTATTGGCTCGTCCTCGCCGTTGCCTCTCCGCCGAGGTCCAGCGCGGATACGTACTATCTACCTACATCGGGGGATAGAACCGCGAGCGATTGGGGCCTGCTCAGTGTTGGCGGCTCGGCTAGGTAGCTTGCGGATAAGGCACGGCATCAGAAGCTCTTGAGAATGGCCCCCAGCGCACCGGATGGGACGCCATGTATGAGGTCACTGGGTTAGGATTTTTTGTTTTTCAAGTGTTTTTCTGGTGCTTTTGGTGCTTTTCGATGCGGCATGTGAGTCTCTTGGGGTCATCCCAGTCACCCGCAATTCTCCGAGCGCCTCACTTGACTTCGTGTCTAACTGTTACTTGTCAGCTTGAGGTTGGCTATTCCTGACGGAAATAAGTCCGTCGTCGAGTTCCTCCGTCAGCGAGTCGCTGTGTTACTGAGCATGGAATGAAGAGAACCTCGCAGGCCGATTGCGGACTCGACCGTCTGGGGCCTTTCTCAGAGGTCTTGTCAAATAAACAAATATCGGACGTGCGCTTCCATTCCCTGGCACCGTCGCACGGCCTAAGCTGTGGCTGATCGCCGCTTGCGGCTCAACAACTGTGGCTGGCATCTTGCTGACTCAGATGAAGCTTATACACGTGATCTGGCGAGGCTTGAGCTTCCAATTGCTTGCACCTAGGCCCGATTCGTAGCTTAGCTGGGCGGGAAGGCAGCCTTAGCAGTTACGACACCACCACCACCATCACATACCCTGCCTCTACTACACCCACCATAACCCAAATCCACCACCGATCCAACAACCCTCTATCTTCCCCCGAACCCGAACCAGTCGACATAACGAAGCTACGAAATACCCTCTATCATGCCTGCCACCACCGCGGAGACTCTGTCTCTCGTTCAGCGGAATGTCTCCGTTGCCCCTCTCGTGCTTCTTTCTGTCGTCGACCACTACAATCGCGCGGTAGCCAAGGGATCGAAACGGAGAGTGGTGGGTGTCCTGCTGGGTTCAAATGACGGCAACAATGTCCGCGTATCCAACAGTTTCGCAGGTAAGGCCTACTTCGACGGACGCTATCCATCTAGGTCCTATCCGCGGTACTAACCCATGCTTGCAGTGCCGTTCGAGGAGGATGACAAGGACCCCTCAGTGTGGTTCCTGGACCACAACTACGTCGAGGGAATGAACGACATGTTCAAGAAGGTCAACGCGAGAGAAAAGCTGATCGGCTGGTACCACTCCGGCCCCAAGCTGCGGGCGTCCGATCTCGAGATCAACGAGCTGTTCAAGCGCTATACCCCCAACCCTCTCCTAGTCATCATTGACGTCCAGCCAAAGGAGGCGGGTGTTCCGACGGACGCATACTTTGCCGTCGAAGAGATCAAGGATGTGAGTGGCGTCAATGTCCGCCTTACGATGCTACTGCTAAAAAAGTATGACTACAGGATGGCACCACAACGTCAAGAACCTTCGTCCACACCCCGTCGATCATCGAGGCCGAGGAAGCAGAGGAGATTGGTGTCGAGCACCTCCTTCGCGACATTCGCGATGTCGCAGTTGGAACCCTCTCGACGAGAATTACAAACCAGCTTCAGTCACTCCAAGGGCTGCATCTTCGCCTCCGCGATATCGGTGCCTACCTCCAGAAGGTCCTCGACGGCCAGCTCCCCGTCAACCACGCCATCCTGGGCAACCTGCAGGACGTCTTCAACCTCCTTCCCAACCTGTCCACGCCAAAGGGTGATGGCAAATCGAGTGGCGGCGAGCTCTCCCACGCCATGAGCATCAAGACCAACGACCAGCTCATGGCCATCTACCTCAGCAGTTTGGTCCGCGCCATCACTGCCTTCCACGACCTTATTGAGAACAAGATCCAGAACCGACAGCAGGCGGAGGAGAAGGAGGCCAAGAAGGAGGAGGAGGCCAACGGCAAGGACGGAAAGAAGGACGACAAGACGAATGGTGTGAACGGTGAGAGCAAGGAGGCCTCTGACAAGGAGAAGGAGGCGAAGAAGGAGAAGAAATAGAGGACTGCGCGAAGACGCAGTGGACGAAGAAATCACGCGCATTCAAAACACGGGAACTGATACCCGCGATAGACATTGGGGCGTGGGCATGTCATAATATCTCGGCGTCCTGGGAGGCAAGGCCGGGGAGGGAATAGGCAAATTCACAAGAAAAGAGTATGCCTTGTACAATGATAGCATGTTTTGATTGATGCTCTGAGACTCCCTCCGTGTTGCTTTTCATCGAAGTGCTATACTATCGAATAACTACACATCCGCAACTAACCCCGCCATCTCCTCGCTGCTTACTCTCCTCTCAGTGACATATTTCCCCAAAGTATCCCCCCATTGCTCGGAGAGCAAACAGGCGAGCAGGTGTTTGCAGCAAGGCACGCCGCCATCATCCATACCGTCCACACTCAGGCCTCCAAACTGCCAGTCACTCGTCTCGCCGCCGTCGTCACCCTCGTCTTCGGCTTCATCTGCGCCCATAATGACTAGATCCGAACCTACATTACGTCCCTCGCCGCCGCTGCTACCACCGACGACCGCCGGAAACGCTTCATACGCAAAGTTGGCGCAAGAGCAGTTCCAGGCGTCGAGGTGGACGAGGTACGTCGTCGACGCGGAGGCTGACGTCGGGACGGCGTGGTGTCTGCGGGTCATTGTTGAGGCTACGGAGCGGACGAGGTGGAATGCGGCTGCTGGAGTTTGGTGTATTGCTGGTTGGAGGCGGGGTGGTGGTGACCCCTGTCCATCGGCGACGAGCGCTTCGGACGCGTTGTCGGTGGCATTGATACTGGGTGGTTGATGTTGGCGGGCGGCGGGTGCGGGGTTGGTGGGGTTGTTCCCTTCCCGGTGGCCGTGGCCACGGCCGAGGCCGGCGGAGGGAGGGGTCGTCTCCGGGACCACGCGCGTGACGAGGTTCCTGTCTAGGAGGTCTAGGGCCGGGAGGACGAGGGAGGGGTAGAGGACGTGGAGGGTTACCAGGAGCGGACGGTGGGATTGCGGGAGGGCTTTGAGGGGGTTTGGTGCGTCGTCGCCTGCGTTGTTGCCGGCGGTGTCTCCTGGCGGTGAGAGAGGGGCTGTGGTGAGGGAGTTGATGAGGTTCGTGATTAGGATTCGAGGTGCTGGCAGAGTGTCTGGTTGCGTTGATGCCGGTGAGAAAGAAGACATGGCATAGCCCGCCTGCCCTACTTCTGGGCTCAGACAGTCGAACGATGAGAGTGTTGAGAGATGAAAGTTTCGGTTGACCGATTGAGGTTTGTAATGTGCTACGTGGTTCACGGGTGTTAGGCTCATCAGCCAGAACGCATAGTCACCGAATCTGGCTCCGGATTGTATGCCCCGTATGAGATGGAAGTCTGCATTCTCCAGCTTTGCCACGAATGAGGTTCTTATCAGTCAAATATTTGTCCGCAGCTGGAATACCAAAACTCCGAAGCAATCAAGACGCAAGGTGATGAACAGAAGAAAATGTCTCTTTTGAGTTTTGCCGCCTTACAGCTGTTGTCTAATAATCACATTATGTCCGCCGCAAAATTTGGCATAATCTTACAGCAAATATCGCTCGCATCCGGTGCTCCTTAACCAGGCTACCTCTTCCCCCCCTTCCCCCCCTTTCTCGGCCCTTCCTCTAGACCCACTCTTTGGGCGCTCTGAGGACATCCACGAGGCGTTGCTCGCGGCTCTTGGGCTCGGGCTCATGCATGTACTTCCAGCTGGCCGTCAGGGGCAGACTCATGAGGATACTCTCGACTCTCGAGCCGGGGGTGTTGAGGCCAAAGGCGGTGCCACGGTCGTGGACAAGGTTGAACTCGACGTACTTGCCTCTGCGAATCTGCTGCCAGTCCTTCTCGGCCTCGTTGAAGGGCATGTCCTTTCTCTTCTCGAGGATGGGGAGGTAGCCGGGCAGGAAGGACTTGAGGCAGTCCTGGATGAAGGCGAAAGTGTTCTCGCGGTCCTTTTCGGTCTCGTCGAGGTCGTCAAAGAAGATGCCGCCGACGCCGCGGCACTCACCGCGGTGCTTGTTGTAAAAGTATTCGTCGCACCACTTCTTGAAGCGCGGGTAGTAGCTCTTGTCGTGCGAGTCGCACGTCTCCTTGAGCGTCTTGTGGAAGTGCACGGCGTCCTCGTCAAAGAGATACGACGGGGTCAGGTCGCTGCCGCCGCCGAACCACCAGGCCTGCGAGGTGCCGTCGGGGTTCGACGTCTCAAAGTAGCGGTAGTTGAGATGGACCGTCGGGGCCATGGGGTTCTTGGGGTGCAGAACCATGCTGAGGCCGGCGGCGAAGAAAGGGAGGGAGTCGACATTGTCGTCGAGGTTCTTGTGGTTCACGCGCATCTTGGCGATGGCGGGTTTGGGGAGGGTGCCGTAGACGACGGACACACCGACGCCGCCCTTTTCAAAGACGTTGCCGTCCTGCAGCACGCAGGTGATGCCGCCGCCGCCCTCTTTGCGGTTCCATTCGTCCTTGCGAAACTTGGTCCCGTCGACCTTTTCAAGCTCCTTGACGATGATCTGTTGCTGTTCCTTGATGAACTTTTCCATGCGCAGGCGCATGGGCGAGTCGACGGTCACTTCGGACTCCCGCTTGGTCAGGGCATCGCGCTCGGCCAGGGTCGGCGGATCGAGTTGGAAGGGTTCTTGGACGGCCTGGATCGGACAGTTATGTTAGCGATGGGCGAGCTCTGATGCATCAATGGGAAAGGCGGAAGCTCCGGTATTGGGGAGGTTTTGGGGTTCGTGGTGGTGGAGGGTATATGTTGCAGTACCATCTTGTAGGCGATGGGAGCTGCAGCAGCGAGACCAATTGCGCCAATTAGGAAGCGGCTATAAGCGGCACCGGACTGCTGACCCTTGAATTGGGACTTTGAAGAGGCGGAGACGAGTCTGCGTCCGAATTGAAGCTGTTGCTGCTTGGTGGTGATGGCGATTCTAGCTCGGGAACTGGCGAAGTGTGCAAGCAACCTCTGTGATTGCTTTGCGGATGCCATGATGGGCGAAAGGAATATAAATACAAACTCTATAATGGGAAGGAACAACGAAGAAAAGAGCGACTTGGGTTGTTACAGGGAGGGAAAATCGGATGATTCGTTCTCAAGTGAGAGGCATAAGACCACTGGGTTGCAATCATGGACTGACTGGAACGTCGTTCGAGGATTGAGCCAGTCAGGCCAGCTGTAAAAGTAAATTCCGAAATCGTTCCACGTTGGTTATGTGCGGGACCCCTGTCGCCCTTGCGCCGACCCAACGGAGCAGCACTGCACCTCAGCACTGGAGCTGTCCATCCAGCACATCCACAGCCTGGACCGGGCTCTCTGCCGGCTCTGGGCCGCTGGAGAGGTGGGGTGAGGACCAGTGAGTCCGAGAATCGTGCATCTGCCGCCGAACGCCGGACATGCTTCAACGGACCAACACGCGGTGAGGAATTGCCCCTGGAAGCTGCATGCTTATTTGTAGCTGTCATAGACTTGTGAAGTGATGCCCTTCGTCCAACCGTACAGCAGCTTGGCTTTCTAATGTTTGGGGCCAGGAGGCGTAGAACTCTTCTATTTCCTTGATAAGGTACCTTGGGTAGGAAGGGTAGCTCGCGTTCGCTCTTCTGCAAGGTAAGCGGAAATGCAACCTCGGGTGCGCGGGGTGGAATCCTGGAATCTTATTTTCCTCTCACAGAATCCATTCAATCTTGAAACAACTAATCATCTCTTCCAGAATTATCTCAGCATGTATGTATTCGTATTTTTTCGTGGCTCTTGACTTAGGTCATCAAGTGCATATATAATGAGAAGCAGCACAAGGATGAGAGCTGGCCAGCTGCCAGTAGGTATGTTGGGAAAAGTACCTAGAAGCGCTTGCATTCGCTTCCACTCTCCCGTCTTCAGGGACCTGAGGTCGGTTATCGGAGGTCCAGAGTGGGGTCGCTTAAGTAAGATCGGCAGATAAGAGCACTTGGGCCGTGTGGGTGAAAGTCCAGTGACAGTTCCTTCCTGTCACTGTCGTGCTGGAACCTGAAGGGTCAACTGTTCCCGTGGTCGCTCCAAGTCCCATTGTGAGTGGGCTTTCGGAAAATGCTTCCCTCTCACCTCTTACTGGGGACAAATGACGTCAAGACGAGGATAGGTAGTCTACCAAGGCATTGTACAAACTCCCCCGTCTATGGCTCCGAGTGACAATGCACTTCAAGCGGCTTTGAAGACAACAAATAGCTTTGCATGCACAGACAAGGCCGGCTCGCGTGCACGTATCAGGAGGTTGCGACTACGGTGATCCCGTGAGAGCTTTCAGCGGCTTTCAGTCCCGTCTGAAAAGGGAACCAACCTCAGGCAGGCCCCTACTTTTTGGACCTAAGCAACTAAGGCAAGGTACTCGTACTCCAATAGAATGGAGCAGTGTGCCAGGACCTTCTCCTGTGACTCAAATCGGATCCAGAAAGGCGTGACAGGCTGCCAGGCTGTGTCAAGTGGCTGCGTGGACGGTCAGCTGCCTGCCTGTGGTCAATCTTTGCCCCAGCACCCGGAGCACCTGCGCTGGCCTCACAGTCTCACTGCGCCGCTGATTACGGTACCTACCAGGTTAAGGTAGGTTACTGGGATGGCATCGGTGTCTTGCCCCGCTCCGATAATCCGATAAGGATAAGGACGGGAGGACCTGGAGCGCCTGGAGTGGGAGGGAGCTGGCTGATGCAATGAGGATGAGGATGAGGATGAGGAGGGGAGGGGAAGGGGGGCGTGGGGTTGAGTTGAGCACCTCTCTCACCGGCTTAGTCATTCCACGGCCATCAATGGATGTCACTCACCAGCCAACACTCCGCGGAAAGGTACCTGGCTGGTCTTAGGTTCCTGCCTTTCTGGGTGCTTTGCTTTACCAACCAGCCGCCTGAGCCACCCAGACACTTCCAGTCAGTGACCGCCCATTGCCGTCCCCGTGTCTGACCCCAAGGCACCCCAAAGCAGGCGGCAACCGACCGTCCATCCTTCTTCTGCCTTTCGCAAACGGCCCCTCGTTACCTCAACTCTCCCTTCTACATACTCCGACGCATCAGGCACCACCAGTCGACAAACATCGAGCCATCTATATCTTGACCCTCGCCCAACTCCCCACGACCAGCCCATCTGCAAACCCACAACCCACTTCTACTTCACCCACCACATACCCGTCATCATGAGATCCAAGTTCAAGGACGAGCACCCCTTTGAGAAGCGTAAGGCTGAGGCCGAGCGTATCCGCCAGAAGTATTCTGACCGTATTCCCGTACGTTGTAACTCTCCTTGTCTTCGGCCTCATTTCGTGGTTATTCCTCTGTAGTTTCTGTACAGAGATACAGCTCCGCCTTTGCGCCGTGACTGCATTCGTCAGCTTCGCGCGTTACTGGCGGCTGCCCCACGTTCCCCGACCGTCACCGCCGATCTGCCTATCTACCTCTAGAAGTCCGAAAACTGACAAAGTCCTCACAACACAGGTTATCTGCGAGAAGGTCGAGAAGTCTGATATCGCTACTATTGATAAGAAGAAGTACCTCGTCCCCGCCGACTTGACGGTTGGTCAGTTCGTCTACGTCATCCGCAAGCGCATCAAGCTCTCCCCCGAGAAGGCTATCTTCATCTTCGTCGATGAGGTGCTGCCGCCTACTGCCGCTCTCATGAGCAGCATCTACGAGGAGCACAAGGACGAGGACGGGTACGTTTCAGAGCATTCTGCCGCTTTGTAACAAGCTCTTTGTTGCTGACCTCTTGTGTTCAGATTCCTTTACATCACCTACTCCGGCGAGAACACCTTTGGCGACTTTGAGGAGATGGCTTAAGCCCCCGACTTTCTGACGGTCAAGTCACCTCGCGGCTTCAGAATGTTCCCGGCGTTTCGGTCTGCTATGTAACGGTTCAGCACTTTTGGAATGGGTTTTCACACGGTTATCGGTCTCCCCCCACGAAGCAGGGGTTTATGAAGATACGCAGTCACGTTATCGCTTGGAGTCACAGGATCAGGTGCAGCCTCCTGACCTGGTCACAGAGAAACTCCTGCGATGCTTGGGTACAATCCAAGAATTGAAGGCTAGCGGAGGACTATGCATGGAAATTGGCTTCACGGATACTAGGTGGAAACGTTTCCTTAGATCGCATATTCAGTCGCCTTCCGTCGCCTCTTACTTCCCTCCCCCCTATCTCTCACCTATAACTGTCGTGTGGGCTATGGTGACAATATTCTTGGCATTCTGTATAGCACTTCATTCATTAGCGCGCCGTGCCAATTCTTGACCTGACCTTTCTTCAACTCGTCTATGTATGAAACCAGACCGCTACGATGATGCCCCCCAAGCTCCAATCAGTATCAGTATCGCGAGTGCCAGGGTACAGTCCACACGCTGAACAGTCCACACGCAGAAGGGAATAAAGTGAAGCGACACAAAACGTGTTGAAGCTTTCGCCATGCGAGAGAAAGCCCCTGAATGAGAAGGTCAAAGCAAAGAGTCGCGAGCTTGTGGGAAAGGAGAGAAAAAACAAAAGCCATGCGGGATACACGAGTTCTCCGAGACCCCGACATTATCTGTGTTTTTTCGTCGGCTCGCCCCGGCTATTTCATGCATTGAACGCACTTCTTCTTTCGAGTTTGTTGAGCTTGGATGCTCGGGCGAACAGATGGCACGTCTGAGGGTGAGATGACACGAGCAAGACATCAGACCGTTGGAGCTGCATAGGGGAGGGGAAATGCAATGAACAAAGACAGTGATCTGGTCTGCATGGGGCTGAGGTACTTCGTATTGTGTCCCCTTGAATCTTTTGATATGTGATGCGAAGAAAAAAATTGAACTTTGTTTTTGATATTTCACCCATTCCTGTCTATGAACTCCTAACTGATGATGATGATGATGATGATGATGATGATGATGACTTTGCGGAGAGGGAAAATTCCAAAATGAGCCCGCCCTCAAAGGGGTTGGGGACTTGATATTACACTTTTTTAGAAAAAAGATTGAGAAAATATGGAACCATGTAACGGAATGGAAAAATCACAGACTTCTTGTCCCCAGATGTCCTTTGCCTTAGTGACCCAGCATTTGCTGCATGGCGTTGAGGCGGTAACTCTCGCTCTTCTCCATGAGCTCCTCATGCCTGCCCTTTGCCGCGACAGCGCCGGCCTCGACGACGAAGATGACGTCGGCCTTGCGGACCGTGTGCAGCCTGTGAGCGATGGCGATGACGGTGATGCCGCGCGCGGCGCGCTCGAGGCCTTCTTGGAGCGCCTTTTCGCTCTCGGCGTCGAGTGCGGAAGTGCTCTCGTCGAGGAGGAGGAGGCGGGGCTTGCGGACGAGGGCGCGGGCGATGGCGACGCGCTGGCGCTGGCCGCCGGACAGCTGGGAGCCGTTGGGGCCGCACTCGGTGTCGTAGCCTTGCGGGAGGGCGACGATGGTCTCGTGGATGTTGGCGAGGCGGCAGGCCTCTTCGATTTCCTCGTCGGTGGCGTCTTGCCCGGGGCGGGCGCCGAGACCGACGTTGAACTTGACGCTGCCGTCGAAGAGGGCGCTGTCCTGGGGCACGACGGCGATGTCGTCGCGGAAGTCGGTGCCGTCGAACTTGGAAATGTCCATGCCGTCGATTTCGATGGTTCCCGTGCTAGCGGAGTACATGCGCTGGACGATGGCCATGACGGTGGACTTGCCGGCGCCCGAGGGGCCGACGAGACCGCAGAACTGGCCGGGCTGGATAGTAAAGGACATGTTGTCGAGGATCTGGACCTCGGGGCGGGCGGGGTAGGAGAAGGAGACGTTCTTGAAGGAGACGGCGACGCCGCCGCGGCCGGGGGACGGGCGCGGGTTGGGGTTGGCGAGGGCCTCGACGTCCTTCTCCTTCTCCTTGCCCTTGGAGGACTCTGAGGCGGCGTCGGCGGCGTCGGCGGCCTTGCCTGCCGGGTCGGCGTCGGACTTGCTGAGGTCGAGGAGACTGAAGATTCTCGAGGCGGCCATGCGGGCGCGGGTGACCTCGGGGGCGAGGGTGAACATCTGACCCCACAGCTGGGCGCCGACGAGCATGGCGACGTTGATGATGAGGAACTGCGTCTGCGTGGCGTTGCCGGCGACGATTTGTTTGGATCCCCACCAGTAGGCGAATGCGTAGATGATGTTACCCGTGACGTTGGCGACGGCGAGCCAAACGTTGGCAAAGGTGACGGCGGAGATGATTTCCTTCTTGGGGTCTTTGAGGGCGCGCTTGTACTGGCCAAAGACCTCGTGCTCCAGGGAGAGGGTGGCGACGGTCTTAATGGAGTTGACGGACTCGACGGTGATGCCGACGGCGGTGGCATAGGCGACGGCGTGCTTCTCCTCGAACCGAGAGAGGACGCGGATCTGCATGATGCCGGAGCCCAGGAGCATGGGCACGATGACCAGGCAGACGATGGCGATTCTCCAGTTCAGAATGTGGGAGTAGATGATGGCGACAAACAAGTTGACAACGACGGCGAAGATGGTTCCCATGATGGAACCGCTGAAGCCACCGATGGACGCCGCGTCCTTGGTGATGAGGGACAGGAGCGACGAAGGGTTGCGGGCTCCGGACTGGTGCCATTCGAGCTCCTGCTGGAAGAGGGCACGGAACGAGCCGACGCGGATCTTGTATAGGAGCTTCTCGGCAATGTAACCAAAAGCGGACCAACTGCACAAGTTGGCGACAAGTTCGACGCAGGCGAGCATGAAGAACAGGCCGGCGAAGAAGGCACCTCTGCTCTGGATGTAGCTGGGCTCGTTGCAAGGGCTGGCGACGCCAATGGCGAAACCGAAGATGGTACCAGATGCGCTGAAAGTGCAACCGACAATGAAGGCGGAGACCATGGCGAGGAGGAGGTAGAGAATGTGAGGCCGGACCATGACGCCAGCCTTCTTGGTGATCCACCAGGTAGACCTGTCATTGTCGAGACCGCTGTTCTCGGTTTCCAGGGCAGCGTTCTTCTTCTTTTTCTTGAGCTCCTTGGCCTCCTTCTTGAGTTGCTTCTTGGTCTTCTCGGTCACGACGGCCTCCGGGCCTGCCTCGGTTTCGATAGCCCTGGCAAGATCCTTGGGGTCGACGCCAGGCGTCTCGGCATCCACAGAGGCCGCAGATGACTCGACGGCGGTGCTCGCGCGAGAGGGAGCCTTCTCCTCCTCGGAGCCGTTGATGTTTTGCAGGTTGACCAAGTTAGCGTAGGCGCCGTTGCGGGCGATGAGGTCGGCGTGGGTTCCCTGTTCCATGATATCACCGGCGCTCATGACGATGATGTTGTCGGCGTTCTTAATGGTGGAGAGACGGTGAGCAATGGAGATGAGGGTTCTGCCCTTGGAGACATTCTCAACAGCCTTTTGAATACGGGCTTCGCTGGCAGAGTCCAAGGCGGCGGTGGCCTCGTCGAGAATCAAAATCTTGGGGTCACGAATGAGAGCACGGGCGAGGGCCACACGCTGTCTCTGACCACCACTGACGAGCTTACCGCCACTGCCGACGGCGGTTCCGAACCCATGCTTGAGGCGGTCGATGAAGGAGGTAGCGTCGGCCAGGTCGGTCGCGTTCTGAACGAGCTTGACAATCTCGACAACTTCGGGACCGTACTTTTGGGCGGCTGTGTTGAGGTCCTCGCCGGCCATGAGATCCTCGGCAAGCTGGGCGAGCTGGGGTCCGTAGAGCGTTTCCTTGAGTCTCTGGTGCTCCTCCTTGGGCGAGTTGACGAGACCGAGAGCAATGTTTTCAATGACGGAGCGGTCGAGCAGAGAAGGTTCCTGCTGGACGAGACTGATGTAACTGCGAACGTTTCTGACGTTGAGATTGCGGATATCCTGGCCGTCAATGAGGACTTTGCCCTCCTTGGGGTCGTAGATTCTCGTGGCAAGGCCGGCAATGGTCGACTTTCCGCTACCGGAAAGACCGACGATAGCAGTGTACTTTCCACCGGGGCAGACGAGAGAGATGTTCTTGAGCACATCCGTATCGGGGCGCGAGGGGTAAGAGAAGGTAACTCCACGGAGTTCAACCTCACCGTGGACATTGGTGGGCAGCCTGTCACCATCCTCGGTGACGGAGTCGATAGTGGAGTGCTTGTCGATGTCCTCCCGGAGCTTGACGAAGGCAGCGGCTGCTGATCCGAAAAGGGGCAGCAGAGGTGCGATGGTACCGAGCATGATACAGGCTAGTCGTAGTCAGCAAATTTGTGCCAAAGATTATAGAAACGAAGTACGTACCGTCGACAATGAGGAACACAACGGTGTAAATGTCACCAACGGAGGTGCCGTCGCCAGTTCCAGCAACTGATCTTGAGATGGCCTTGCTACCTTGCCAGTATGCGAGGGCGTTCGCAGCGTAGGCGATGAAGTACAACAATCCGGCGTTGGAGGCAGCAGCAATGGCCTTCTTGATACCCTCCTTCTGAGCGACCATGACATGGCCGGCGAACTTGTTCTCGAGGCGAGGTCCAGCGCCAAAAGCCTGGACGACGGCGACGTGAGACAGTGCCTCTGAAGCGATGGACGAGGCCTTGGCCATACCCTCCGACATGGCTCCGCTCCATTTCTGGATGTAGCTTCCGCAAATCATGGACGCGAGCAAGTAGGCGGGAATGAGCGAAACCAGCATGCCGGCCAGGGGCGCGTACTTGATGAAGCCGATAACGTATGCCGTGACGAAGAAGGAGATTGTGCCGATGAAGTGACTGACTTTCTCGGACGTTCCGGACTGAATGGTTTGGATATCGGAGTTGAGGCGGGACGAGACCTCACCGGCCTGTCTGCTCTCGAAGAAGCCGACATCCTGTCTCAGCAAGCTCTGGAAGTACTTCTCACGGAGGCGGGAGGCGAGCCTCTGACTGATGATTCCCCAGCAGGTGGTGTGCGTGTAGATGAGGCAGAAGGCGACGCAGGTGATCCAGACGAGCTTGATAACTTTGTCGTTGACGGCGTCCTGGTAGGCGCCCACATCTC